GAATTAGTTTAGCCAAATTGGCCATGAACTGCGCCTGCTCACAGGCGACCATCATTAAGTTCCCGGAGTCCTGCATCGTCCTCTAAAAGCAGCGAACAGACACTGATCACATACAATTTCCTGAAACCTGATCGTATCTGACCACACAGGACTCACAAAAGCAGTACTCCAATACTGACCAGGCGGAGGCTTTTCAGAACCGGATGTTCCCTCAGCGAATGATTAAGCACATACTGCATCAGTGGGTTGTCTTTTCCCCCAACGTGACTTTTGGAGATGCTCATTCTGAATGATTTCTTTTTTCCTGAGGGCACACATGAAACAATAAGGATCTCAAGAGTCCAGACCTCATGAAATTGCAGTCTGGTATAGGGGCTGTTATTAAATTGAGAAGTAATCCAGGGAAAATTACCTCAGAAGGAAAATGAAATTTAAGTATTTGAAGCAACAGACGCTGCGATAAGACAACATACAAAGGAAATAGTGACGTGATTTAATGTTGTAGCTTTAGGGAAACATAATAGGTTGACAAGAGATTTGTATCCGATATAGAACATTGAGGAGAGCCATAAAGAAACCAAGAAAAAGTAAATGGGCGGTATGCAATAAATCTTAAAATTTATTAAGATACACACTACACATGAAAGTTATCTTGACTGAATAATTTAGCTTTACTAAGTGCAGAATTTGTTTTGTGTAGATCTGTTTCTCAAATCCATTTACTGGGACATCTTGGTCTCCTAGCACAATGGACATAACAGAAAAGGTTCAGTTAAAAAGTGAAATATATACACACACAGTGAAATATTATGTTTTATTAAACTATCATAAAGCTTAACATATCAAATAGAAAAATTCAAGGGGTAAATAATTATTTTGAAACGGGATATTTCATCAAAGTTTAAACAGTTGTCTCAGATTTAGGTTTAAGGAGTCATCGCATTTATAAAAAAGCTAAATTGTATTACTTTAAAACCCCAGTTACACTAAAACGGTGTTCTCCTTATCATTGATTTTTTTTAAAACCCTAAATAAATTAACATTTGAAAATCTAACACACATTCACACAAACCACCAGACTAATCCTGAAGGATTTCTTCTCTTATGTTATTTTTGCAGCACTTAAATTAGATCAATAAATGATAATATGGACAATTTCGACTTTTCCATCCAACTTACACACACACACACACACACACGCGCAAACCTGTTCCTGGAAGGTTACCTGGAAAGCCTTTGTAAATCTCAGACTGTATTTACAACATTAATAAGAGCCGAACCTCTTCGCTCTTACCAAGGACATATCCTGCGACGAAAACAACCCCGACGGCGAGAGAGCCAACCAGAGCCTCTTTGGAAATATTGCGATAATACATGTTTTGTAAAGATCGATAAATATCCACGCAGGATTACACAGAAGGGCAGCGCAGGCTCTTCCGTGTTGCCGCAGCTACTTTACCGTAATACTGACAGGAAAATACGACGGCGCATAAGACGCAAAAGAACATAATTAACCAAAGTCCTCGCCTGTTGAGCAATGTGCTAAATGGAAATGATGCCCAAGAATGTTAATCATAAGGAATGACAAAAGGGAATTATTATGCAATCGAATGAGCAAGGTACCGTTACTGGCTGCAAAGGCATGACTTAAAGCGTTAAACGCAGCTCAGTCCTTTAAACAATATTTAACTCACCACTTTTAAAGTCAGGAAACCTCCTTCCCTGGGCTGCTATTACTGAGGCGATTCCTTCTTAAATGAGCCCTGAAAACCTGGGAAGTCGTGTGTGTTTAACAGTGATCATGTGATGAGCTGACGCTTTTGTGACACGATGGTAAAAAACAAAACAGACGCCCCCTGTCAGAACTGAGGTTCTCTGCAGATTCTTGGCCCATTTAATAGAAAATGTTTAAGGTTTTATGATGCTGTCCAGATATTGGGGGACAGGAGAAGTTATAAGAAAAGTCTTGTTTAAGGACTTTTATTGTGAAAACCTAATATTTACACCTCTTTTTCTAAATTGAATTTTCAATGTATTCAGTCTGAGATGGGCTGCTTGTATAAATTCTCCCAGGGATTGAATTTCATGCGGCTCAACCTGCATTATTGGTCAATAGCGTGGACACACATTTATTGCTTTCTTTTCAGGATTAAAACTGAAAGCCACGCCTTACTTTTAGTACATTTAACAAACAATTATTTTGGGTGTGACACATCAAATACATAAAGTATTTGAGTGGAGGAACTGGTTGATGGCGTTACTAGTTTCGCCATCTAGAAATCTGGTGACTTCTGACTTTAACCAGAAGTCGGCTGAGCTTTAGTTGACTTCTGGCTAAAGTTAAACTCTTTCTGAGTGAAAGTGGCATTGGAAAGGCTACGGATGTTTTCATTAGCTCATCCTGTACCAATTATTGTAATTACCCTTATATGGAATAAACCAGGGCTCCCTCAATGTCGCCTGTTGATAAACATTTGAAGACACAATCACATCACTTCTGGACCCCATTCACTGGCGCCCAGTGTATTTTAAAGTTGTTAATGGCATTGCACCTTCTTATTTAAGTGACCTTTTACAAACTTTACCCAGAGCTCTTTGGTCTGCTGACCAACATCTTCGCCAGGTCAAAGTTCAAACAGTGTGGTGACCATTCGTTTGTGAAAGCTGTGAAATTCATGACCTTTAAATTGCATTGCTTTGTGTCTGTCACATCAGACACATTAAAGTTTGAGTTTTGTGACATTTCTCTAACAAATAGAATGCAAATGTAACATTAAGTGTTTATGTGTAGTGGATAATTCTGAAGTGGAAGGAAAATATTGCATGGCTTTAATTTAAATATATATGATATTAAAAGTGTGGCATTCATTTATAGCTAGGCCCGTTTATTCTGATACCTCTAAATGAAAACCAGTACAACTAACTGCCAAATTGACAAGTAGCATCCACTTAAGTATAATTAAATCTCAGTATAAATCCATTTGTTTCGTCAAGTTTTTCCTCCCACTAAATTTTCCATTAGTTTATTTGGGTTCAATGCTAAATGCCCACTTCTTCAACAATGACCTTTTGTGTTTGACAAACAACTTTAACATCACCAGTCTCATATTTGTGTGGGCCATAACATAATAGTGCATCAGAAATTCACTGTTAGTACTACGTAATGTTTTAGTTTTCTGAGAACTGGAATTTTGTGTTTTTCAGTCACTGGAAGCCACAATAAAAGTGAAGACTTAATTATGTCACATATTAAATGTATAGAATAGGTTTAACTTTTTAAAATTGAATTACATTATTATTCAATTATTATTAAATAATTATTAAATCAAACCTTTTGACGTTTGTAATTTATTGAGATGCAACTACATTAACTACTTTTACCTTAAGCCCAGTTGAAACATTTTGAAATAGCCCTAAAAGCAATGAGTCCAAAGATAAACATTTAAGCTACTTTACTAATATTCCTTTCCGCTGCTCGAAAATATCTTCCCTGAAGAAGAAAACTGCCTTCTTTTTCGCTGAAACATTAAGTTGAGGTGCTACTTCCTTCAATCACCACACGGGGGGGCTGCAGTATTGGCAGCCCTTCCGTCTGCAACGCACACAAATGCTGGGGAAGGAGGCAACGGGTTGGTAAGTTGTTTAATTATGTTTACTCCCAAAAATTAAAACGGAAGCAAATTGGACTAGTTATAACAAATTGGACCGTTATAACATAAAGACAGAACAAGCAAAGAAATGGTGAGAATCTGCTGGACCTAGAAAAGAAACAGTGGCTGCAAGGTGACATGATGAGTAAATGAGAGCAGGTGTGACTAAAACAAACGGAGTTCCGGGCTGCTAACAAAAGCAAATAAATTAAATGTAATAAATTACATGAATCAACCACCAAAATTCCTTTGGAGCCAAATATTGTATTTGGTGGTTCCAAATATCTTTGTATTTTGGAACCACCAAAATACAAAGATATCAAAAAAGGGAATAAATCCACAGACTGTTTTCTGAGCTTATCGAATACAAAAAATATGCTTCTGCAACCTTTGGTGTATTGCTTTCTGTACAAATATTTATACACAAATATAACAAAATACTAAATAGTCCTCACCACGAACTGCTTTGAATGCCTCCATGAAGCGACGAGAAGTTCAAACTGTGGTCATGCAGAGAAACTCAAGATTAATCTGTGAAAGTTCGACTGCCCCCTTCTGGTTAAATATACGAACTGAGTCACTGGAATTTTTTAAACATTTTAAAATTCTGGAATTACTCCTATTTAACAAATAGTAGACTTTGTGCACTATAATCTAAAAACTACACTTCTACTTGTGCTCTGACTTTGTGCATCAGTAATGTTTTTTTATCCTGATTTTATTTATTTAGTAATGTATGTGATTTATTTTGCTAACTACTACTAGTTCCCTACAGTTCTTAAAATGGGCTGAATCGTTTTAAAAATTGTGGCAAGTTATGCTTTTCACTCAGGCTGTAAGGTGTTCATTGTGTGAGACGCTTGGTGAGATGATGTCATTGTTTCCCACTTGTAATGCCAGTATTCATGCACAAAGGGGCAGTGATTACATTGCAAATAAACTTACACATGTCTCAGCTGTCTGGTTTGTCCACAAAAAGCTATTTTTCACATTTCTGGAGTAATGGTTGTTAATCTGAAAAATGTATTAGTTTTTTTTCTCTATTGGTCTCTAAAGAAATAATAGAACATTTTCTTTTGTATGTTTGTGTTTATGTGAAAAGAGGCAGGATAAGCTCCATTATTTTGAGCAAATTGGACACCCTAACCCTAAATGTCTTATTTAAATGTCCTAAATGTCTTATTTATCAATAAAATAAAGGAATTAAACTATGATACACTGCATAACATTGAACATAATTGTATCAATCTAATCTGCTATTGATTTCAGCAATAAAAGATTAAACTCTCCGCTTGTTCATTTACTTTTAGATTCTCACTCTGCTTCCTGACTTATGGTTCGCAAGACAGTGGTAGGCAGTGACAGAGTCCAGACAAAAGGAAAGAATAGAGTAACCCCCCCCACAAGGAGAGTTGGGACGTTAACATCTGGGCTGGAGAGGTGTGACGTTTGCTTCAGAATAAACCTCTGCTGTGAGTAAATGCAAAAGCAGAGACACAACATTGGCCGGTTTGGCTTTGATGTTATGGACAACTTTTAGCGACTACAAGTAGTACCCGCAGTCTTCTGCAGAGTCCTGGGAGATTAGTTTTTATTTTTATTTTTATTTTACTAGTTTCTAGGGACTAAAAAAGGATGAAGGACCTTAAAGACTCAACCATACAGGCTCCGGTCTGACATGAGTTTACATATTTACCTTTTCACAGCCCATTTTTTTTCTAATTTAAGAAAGAGACACAATGAAAACCACCAGAAAACCACCAGAAGTATTTTCAGCAGCATTATTTATTTATTTTCTTTGCATTATTTATTTATTTTCTTTAAAGGCAGACAGGTTGTTGTTCTGTGTAGCTCACTATTTTACATCTTTAATGGAATTCTGATTGTGCAGTACCTTGCAACACCTGCGAGCTGAGTTTTTCATTCAGTGTGTTTTGTTGCGATTTTATGTGATGCATTAACCCAAAGTAGTGCATCATTACAAAGTGGAATAAAAAAATTAATAGCTTCTAATTTTTTAAAATGAAAATTTCAATTTGGAGGTTTCTCTCTGACAATTTTGCACATTTACAGATCTCTAGGGATGAAAATTTCTGCCAGTTTGCAGTCAAATTTAGCGTTAAAGTGCCTATGAATATCAAGTGTCAAGTCTTGCCACAGATTCTCAGTTAAATTGAGGTTTGCACTTTCACTGCACCTTTCTCAGACATGAAGGAGCTTTAAACTGTTCGTTTGTAACTCAGGCTGTATGCTTGTGGTTGTTGTCCTGTTGGAGGGTAAACCTCCACCCAAGTTTATTTCAGCCTCTAAAAGGTTTTCTTCCAGGTTTGTTCTATATTTAGCATCATCCATGCTCTGATTAACTCTGACCAGCTTCTGTAGCCATACTAAACAAAAAATATTTAAATCGCATGATTATTTTATGAACTCGCATAAATATGTTGTATATGAAAAGTCTGTGCTTTCTAAGCCTGATGAGGCAATATTCTTCATATCATTTAGTTGATGAAAACTTTATGGCTATCTCTGTACTTGGCATTAGACAGCTCCTCTGCGACTAGCTTTATTAGTTGTTCTCATCTTTACCCTTTGTTAAAACTTTATTACCGAGCAAACATGCCCCCACAAACTCCACTGCTGAGCTTTTTCTCCTTGCCAGACAATGAAATGTCATGTACGCCTCTTGTCTCAGCTCTGGAGCTTGACTTTGGCAGCAGTCTTTCTCTTTGACTGACATATGAGCGAGTGATACAGCCCCATCAAAAAGTGCTGCCTGACAGTTTGATATGACAGGCCTCTTCAGACCAAATATACTCCTCATTCCAGGCGCTACATCATCCTGACAAGACGAAAAGTGCTTAAAAATTTGATTTGGCTCTCAGTAGTTTAATGGAGATTTCAGTGTGAAATTATGGGAAAAAAAAACAAAAAAAAAACACTTTCAGATATTATTCCTATTATACATTTGCTCATTGTTAGATTTTTATAAAATCAAAACTGTTTGTTAGTTTATATTTTGCTATGAAATGTCAGAGAATTTGGGGGTCTGATTGGATGTGAGTGAATTCTGCTGGGTTTCTGTCTCATTTATCAAAAAGGATTCCTGTTTGATAATTTTTAAAAACATTTTGTAGTGTTTGTGTTGATGTGAACAAAAACGATTATTTTTCAAATGTAAAGTCAACAAAGTTTTACAGTCATTGTTAAAATATCAGACTTGTCTAAACAAGTGGATTTAGTGGCTACATTAAACACTCACCCAGAGTGAAGCAGGATAAATCATGGGATCAGTGGATTATTTATCACCTCTTTCCATTAGATGAGCAATCAAGACGAAGGTGGAATCTAAATTGAAGCAACCACTGAAAACCTTGTGTTTTTTCTCCTTTTCCTTTGTCTTGACTTGCCCTGTAACCACCAGAGTCTGAAAATGACTGTCGTCGCTGAGAGCAGATCAGGTCTGACTTTAGGTTTACAAAATAACAGCCTCATAGGACTGGCAGGAATTCATGAAATCCCAGTTTTTCCATTCCTGCCAGCATTGTCACTGTACAGAGTAAAAGTTTCACTACAGAATGATCACATACATAATTTGGAAGTATACACAATCCCAGGTCAATGTCAAAATAAATTAGAGTTTCTGCTCCCTTCTCCATCTGTAGCACCGGAGTAGATGCAGTAGTTACATACCAGGATACGTAATCGAAGGCTATTTCTTCTCATCCCGTTTATTATCCCATTTAACGTGTAAGTTTGATGTTTCTGCATGTTTCTATTTGTATTTGCTCTTTGAAAACTATTTGTTATGCTGGTTTGGAAGCCACAACTACAAATCATGCAAAGCATCATGGGTTATAGAGTTCCTTTCCATTGAAGTAGCTTTTGCTGTTCACAAAATTACCCTTACAGCATAAACTTATGGTAGATGATTTGTTCTAATAATGTCTAATGATCAGCCCAACTGGACTAACATCAAGCAAAAGCATTATTTAATACTACCTCATTACAGTGCTTATCTACCTAAATGCTGCAATTTGTGTAGCTCAAGGGAGTTTAAAACCATTGTTTTTCTAACTTTCTGTAGAAGCTAGCTGTGCTGCAGTGATGATGCTAGCTTTTCACTAAGGAGGAACAAGTGCGCCTTCGGTTTCAGCTGGTTTATCTGTTTTTATCGTTTTCATCTGCTTCTACAATATTGCAAAAGCTAGCAGCTGTTTCAGCAGAATCTCAGCTTAAGTAAAACAAAAATAATTTCTTTTGCTGCTGATGGAGGTTGATTTTGCACTAAGTTGTGTTTTTGCATTCACTATGAGGATTCCCCTACCCTCTATTTCAGACTGCATTAGAAAAAAATCAACTGTAGTACCTATAAAGTCACAATGTTTTTAAGTGCTCTTCAACCCAGGACGCCTCATCCAATATGGCTACTGAAAGAATAAAATTCAATGTGGACTTTTTATTTGCCTGTTTGAAGGGCTGTATTTCCTTATATCTGCTGCCCACACAAATCTGTTAATGGTCTTTTTTTTTTAACATGGGTTAAGTGTTTAATAATTTTGATAAAAAAAAAAAGTTATTAGCTTGTTTTGCTAATAGAAAGTTGACGTGGTTGCTGAGAACATCAGAGAACTCTCCCACTGCTTTTGCTTTTCCACCACACCATTAAGTGAAGTAACCTGCATCATTCCAAGATACAGGTGCTAAGTTATGACTCCTGCGGTAAATTGGACCCACACTGCTGTCTGTGTTTTGTGGGTAATGAGTGAATCAAATGGGAGAAGTGATGCACCAAACCAGGCTGAGCGGTTAAACAAGATTAATGTGATTGGGTTTGGTTATAAGTCGAGTCTACTGTGAGAAAATGCAGCAGTGCTCAGATTGATGCCATGCATGTTTGTGCAAATTTAACCTTAGCTTCAACTCTTGTAAAAATGACTGTGTACAGGCATATGGAAAAAAAAAAAAAAATCCCAACAATTTTTATGTCTGAAACTAATTCCTTGTTTGTGTGAACAAACATGGCAATTGTTGAGCTGGAGATTTAATTTATACACATAATTATCATTTTAGAGTCACATGAAAAATAATTAATAAACTAAATTACATGTTTTTGTGAATTATTAATGGATTTTTTTTTTATGTTTACTACCATTAGCAGGAAGATTTGTTGACTAATTATTCTTGTACATGTTCTGTCATCACATGGGCGTGTTAATCCTCATCACTGTGATTTGCCTACATGCAACCCTCCTATTTAGCTCGTAAAATGTATAAACCTTAATGATTCATGGCAACCATTTACATAATTTATAATTAAATCACAACCTGATGGCCTGGAATTTATTAATAGTGAAAGTGAATGTGCCACGGTTGTAATATACTAATTAATATCTCCAGTTATCATTGGCACGTTGCTCGCTTGGCTGGGGTCTGGTTCTGGGGCAGGAATAATACATTGCAGCAACGAATTATATGTGCATTTAACTGGGAATGTCCTGGAGTGATGGCCACAATATGCATTTGCCTAAAGAGCTTAATAAGGGAATTGGTTTTATCAGAGTTGTCACATGTTCTGTCTAGTCATTATGAACACTGTGTAGATGGGGCAAATGCATTTTCATCCTCCAGCTCCAGATCAGGGCTGCAGGGCATCTTTAACACATTTCCCACAGTCACACTCACCCTAAACCATACGTGCTCTCTCTGACACACTTCATCCTGTAAACTATAGTAAAAGAAAAAACTGCCTGACTGAGATATGTTTTACTTATTATTAAATAGTCTTCAGTGATGAAATGTTGAATTGCAATATCATTGGCCCTATTTTTTCCGGTTATATAGCTTTTCATGTATTTTTGGATTTTTTTTGGAATTTTGAATGTGAAAATATTCATTTAATTCTTTTAATGTAATATACATTTTATAAGTCAAACCAGAAATATACAGTAGGACATATTATTCATTCACTTTTGGTTTTATTGTGCAGGTGGTTAGTTATTTGATTTTCCATTAATTTGATCAAAAAAAGGGTTCAAATTGAAGAAAACTATTTTCACGTTTAAGTTTTTAAACAATGGACCGCTTACTGCCTTTCTATTTTTATTTTTTAGTTTTTTTTATGCAACTTGTATGCAAAAAAACCTGAAATTTGTTATTAATTTTTAAAATGTAAGATTCCCCATGGGGTATTACCATGAATTGATCAACTCTGTTGTTATTTCTCAGATAGTTTATAGCTAAACTTTCAATAAATTAAATTTATTTTCGGTTTATTATTTCATATATTTTTTTGGAATCTTTATTTATTTACTGGTTTATCATCAGATTTTTCAATACTAGTAAATCAATGAAATACTTTCCTTGTAAATGTTAATGCATATTTAAACAAATAATGTGTTTTCAAGTAGTTGTTTTTGCCCGTAATATGCTAATCTTCTCATGAATATGAGGTTGATTCTCCAGTAACTATCTC